CGGTATATATCAGTATATTTAAGGTCTATAGGCGTAGACCGAAATTGTAAGCAAGTACCTAGGCTGCTAGTATGGTAAGTTACAACGTCAAAGAAACATTTTATTGCAGGACGATTTGTAATTCATGTGCACGCAGGCGTTTTCATCTTAATTATCAGGGAGTTGTCTCCGTAAGTAACCGACTTACAGTAGATCGGAGATTAAATTATGGAGTATCTAAACCCGAATGCAATTTATTTATGAATTCGAAGAAGAATAAATCCAACTATTTTCAGGTGATGCGACTGCCTGCCAGATTGCTCAAAATACCTCATGCGCAGCTGAGATGGCACAGCCCACAAGAAGGTCCCATTTCGACATCAAGATTTCTTCGTATGTACAAGTGAATATCTTCACACATTTGGATGCTTACAAGGTTTTGCATTGCTTAAGTACTTGTATGTTGGTTTTCGCGGCGTCTTTATTTAAGGGACTATCACCGCACATGTATGATGGAAGTAAAAGCTCTCGGTTAAAGCAATGCCGATATCTACGTTCTGAGGAACGTTTGTCTTTTGTTAAGCTTATTTTATAAAATATTTTGATTCAGTGATTGACTGTTCACTCATGTGAGAAGCATTCAAAGAATCCCCTAAATCTTGACATAATTGCCCAAGTGAAGCTCGTTTAAACCACTATTCGTTTTACACGGAACTCACGTATGTGGCATTGTGATTGAATCTTTTACTGCCGAGAAAAACCGCCGCAAGGAACTTGAGCATCAAAGAGAGTAGCATAAGCATCGTTGCTCATTTATCTATACATTTGTCTGTGTTAGTATCCCTAACAGTCCCGCACTCCGACACCACCACATGCTTTGACAACCAATATTTGTTTATAGATTCATCCTTCAATCTCCACAAATCCTATCACCCTCACACCCTTTTGATCCTTTTTTCTATGCTCCCCCACTGTAATTCACCTAAAGCAATACACATTCCGCTATGCCATAGTCGATCAGTGCAAAGATCATCACCAAGACTAATTCGTTTACTGCCGGCACCATAATGAGCACTTGCGATGACCCTGTCATCTTCTAATTCATAGCGTCCTATAGCAGCAATGGGGCATAGATTTTAAGCTATCTGAGTTGTGCTCGCTCATTTGCCTCCCTGGTCTGCCAGGTTGATAACTTGCAAATCCATCGTGCAGAGACTGCACACGAACACTGTCTCAACGCATACGCCTACTTGGCCACAGGTACATTCGTGAAAGTGACAATTACGTGATATCCTGTATAATCAATTACCATCTCATCTTAAGCACTCAAAACGCATTTCGCAACAGCGCGATTACACTTCCCAACATATCCTGAACTCATCGCCAGGGTGCATGCATCGGAATGGTCGGTTATTCGCGAATTTAATGCACAAAGTCCGGCGAA